AGCAGTCAAGGGCGGGAAAGATACTTTATGCATGAGTTTGGATCAAAATTTTTTCTACGACCATAGCAAAATAGGGCACAAAGAAAATAATGCGTTTTTCCATTAAACATATATTGCACACATTTAAATAATCCACATTTATTTATTCACATAGATACTTATTGTGAAAGAGCAATTGGATGCATTTTTTAAATTAATCGTCGACGACAATTATGTGGGTAGGTACTGATTCTTCAATATACTGCTGGGATGAGTGTTCGCCGCCATTGCCAAGTTATCGGTTACAGGTGAAGTTACTGGAGACGAGGTTTCCGATCTCAGCTCTGGTGCCTTCTGCGATTTGCGAATGACTGCTTGACGATGGATATTATGCGCCAATGGATGTGCAGGATATACCGATTAAGAAATTTATTGAGTTAAAGTGATTACAAAATTTAAAACACAAAATAATGTGACAATTTAACAAAAGTTTGACACACACAGATATTAACATTAAAAAACCTGTACAAAAAATGACTGGTAAATAACAGGTAATGAAGGTATAGTCCGACAAATACCATTTTAAAGTCATGTGATACTGGTGACAAAAAACGTATGTCCATTGATTATGTCGTTGATATCACCTACAAAAAGCTACTGGTGGTTTATTACTATTGAATTTTAATATATGTTCCCACTAACATTTTACAAACGCATTTCTGAAGTAGTATTGACCAATCAGAGGGCAATTTTAATACTTACAATTGTTGCGAGACTCACTTTTGTCGCATCTGTTGTCTGTTGTAATACATTCTGAACTTAAACTGGGTACCCGTTCTCTATTTGCTTCTTTTCGAGTTGGAGAAAGGTTAATCTGGTCAAAATTATTAGCTGTGTTTGTCCGTTGTAATATTTTCGAAAATAACTTTGACAAACTGATTGATGACAGTGCCGAATTCTATTTCAGGTAAGAATATTATGAACAATAATTAGACAGCAATTTTTTTGTCAATTTTACTATCACCGCTGTTTAAAATGTATTCAACAAGGATAGAGAAAAATCACGTGACTTTAAAATGGTATTTGTTCGACTATAGTTCTGTTACAAAGTTACTTTCCAGCCCTGAATGCGGGAAAGTGACACTTTATTTATATTTTTCTTAGTGTAAACAAAAATATTTACTACACAACAAAATTTAAAAATGTCTAGGTACTTCCTGCTACCATAATTTCCAAGAAAAAAAATCTTTTTAGGTTTTCTCATTATTAAAGTTAGTTGATCGACAGAAAAAAGAAACAAAATAAGTAAACTTTGTTTCACTTACGTCATCAAAAGACAAATAAAAATAAACTCTACCTTCTGGATTAAAATTACTAAATTGTGTGTTTTTTTAAAGATAATTCCCCAAGTCAAAAATTTAGTAACTATGTTGGCAACACAAGCCTTTTCTACATAAAAAATTTGAAAGCATTAACAATTTTACATTGTATTGCCAACATAATGTCATTTTGACTTTTATCTTAAAAAAAACAAAAAAAACTTTATAACGGTTTCGCGGTTTTTAATTATTAATTAATTAAATTTAATTCTATTATTAATTAATTTATATATTTTCGAATAACTTAAATGAACTCTATTCTAAGTTGAACATTTTAATACAAAATCTGAACACTATTGAATTTATATGAATTATTCTACGATAAACCTTTTTCCAAGTTATGACGTCATATAAATAAAATCTGTTAAACCAAAGTATTTCGCTTTCTTTTAAGGCCAATTGTTGTTGTCAAAAGGTGTCCTTTTGGTCTTCCACATCTTTTGATTTTATTGGGCAGTTTCATTTTTTTTCACTCGGAGAGCAAATGGTCTTGACTCTTGGATGCAATTATTATTTACATTTACATTATCAGTTTTGTTTTGGTTCTCAACTATTTTGAGTGTATTCTTGCCTTTTGAATTTAAAATTAACGCATTTTTCTCAGTCATATCACAGTCGGTGGTTTTTGGTAAGCTTGCCTCCTGCCTAATTGTATCTTCTAAGGTATTTGGCTCGGTATTTGGTATATTTTTTTCACTTATTGCACTACTTATCATCTTGAGATCAGTGTCCATTTGCCTTTGGTTTATATCTGTAAATATTGGATCTGCAGTTCCTGTACTTTCTTGTTGGGATATATAATTATTTATTGGTTTTCCTTGGTTTTGGTCTGTGTATACTTCTATATCTAGATCATAAAGTTCCATCTCAGTACCTAATACTTTGGTCGGTGTTAATAGGTGTCGTATTTGGGAATGTGGAAGGTTTGTTGGATGACATAGCCAATACAGGATCAACTTTTTTTTCTATAATACTTAATAAATTGTCATTCTCAGGTTTCGTCGCACAATTCGTTTTAGGCTGATGTTTTTTTAAATAATCACTCTTCCACCTACTATCAACTATGCTTTCATCATATATATCAGTTTCCAGCAGCTCTCATAAAGGGGGTGTGACCCAAAAATTAAAGTTTTAGAACAAAAAAATCTAAGAATAAATATTTAAACCGCATCTTGCTACGATGGTCCGTTTCTGAGTTAGGACGGTTTAAAGTTACAACTAGGCGTTTGTGACGTCACCTTGGATTATCAGGGACAGTATTAACACGTGTGAGAATTTTCCAAAACAAAAGACATTTTTCTCCTAGAGCGAATTGCAACCACTCAAAGTATAGGGTATGGTTCACTGACAACTGAACGAACAGAAGACTGCAGTTTCGGTGGTTGTGACATCACAAGTTCCTCCATAATTTATCTTCACAAGGAATTTTCTCGGAGACTATTTTGAATATAGGACTGCGGTTTTCACGAGAGATCTTAGAAATTTTTTCTTGATTTAAGTGGCTTAAGTCGTTTTCTAGGGTCACACCCCCTTTAAGGACATTATGGCAGTCTCATTTGAAAAAAAAAAAAACTAAATTGACACTTCGAGAACTCGGCATGTAAATATTGAGAATTGAAATATTTCTACATAAAACTATAAAACCCCCATTATCATTTATTTCAAACTTTGTAATGATCTGAACCAAATGAAACTCACTATTAACAATGATCTGAATCGATTATTTGAATGGTTGTGCAAAAACAAATTGAGCATTAATACTTCTAAATCTAAGTTTTGTATATTTGGGAAAAAACAGAAATTGGCTAGTATTTATTTGGAAAACATAAATATTGAAATAAATAATGAAAGGTTACTACATGAAAATAAAATAAAATACCTTGGAGTCATTTTGGATTCAGAACTAAGCTTTCGCCAACATGCTGATTATATCATGAGGAAATTTTCTCAAAGAGTAGGGTTTATTTACAGAGTTGGCAATAATCTCTCTATGTATACCAAATACCTTATGTACAACTGCATAGCAGCACCGCACCTAAAATTTTGCTCTACACTATTGTATAACTTACCTAACTTTAAGATAAATGAATTTCAAGTAATTCAAAATAGAGCTCTAAGAACAATTTTAAAATGTAATAGATACACTCCTATAAACATAATGTTGAATGTTGTAAATATCATGTCGGTTAGACAAGGAATTATTTATGATGTGAATGTCTTTTTGTACAAAATAAGAAATAAGCTGCTACCTGAATATGTCTGTGATAAAGTAAAGTATTTTAAGAATGTCCATAATTACCAAACAAGAAACTGTGATGATTTTATTCTAATCGATAGATATTGCTCAAACCAAATGTCGAATTCTATTCTTTATAGAGGACTCTCTGACTATAATAAAATGCCAAATAATATAAAAAACTGTGATAACTTTAATAACTTTAAATCTTTGTTGAGGGAATATGTTGTGTCCAAATTTTAAATATCTGTAAATTGTTATGCCATCTTATTGAATTGTTATTTTATTTTATTGAATTGTTATTTTATTGAACTACATATTGTATTATCATATTTGTTATACTTTTGTGTGGTCTCTCAATGTAGAAGAGATTGTTTTTGTATGTAGCCCAAAGCTAATAAATATACTATTATTACTTTTCTTTAATTTTGTATTTTCCCATTGATAAAAACTGCGTTTCCAAATGTCTAAAAGCAAACGGGGTAAGCAGTTCATGGTATTTTTGCTGATATGATCTAGATTTAAAATCTGTAATTTCAGTTTTAAAAACCATATCATGAACTTCTTTATCTCTCTCAATCCTTAGTGATGCCAACACTTTGTTAAAATCCGTAAAGAATTGGTCTAAAGATGATAGTTTATCAATTCCACCTTTAAGTTTTTGATTTATGTTTTCTAGTCTATTGGTGGTCCTGTTTCTGAAAGTGTGTGGTTCTGTCTTCTAAAAGCTTCTACTTCTTCTCGAATGTTGTGCCAATTTTTATCAAAATAATTACTCAGATTAACCAAATTCAGCTTCTTCAAAGCATCATAGTGCTCCATATATTTTGCGTCAGTTTTGGCATATATCATTCCTTGAATGATTTCTAAACAATTTTCTTTTTGGATAGAATATATCTTCATTTTTTCTATAATCAGTTCTCTTCGAAAAGTTTTAAGAGAATGAAATAGGCATAATAGTAGGTTTGCTTGAGGAAATTCTGCTTTAAAAATATGTCGCTCTTTCAGGTCTTTGTCTGTGAAAACTGCTTCAGTTTTTTCCCATTCCTTATTTTCCTCCTTGAATATCTGAAGAAACTGACGCAGGGTGTTTTCACTTTCGTTCGCAATCAATATCGAACAAACAATTTCTCTGTGTCCATTTGCATCTATTGCCATTAGCAGGTAAAGTGGCATCCTTAGATTATTTAGTTTATATGTACCATCATAACCTCTGGAAAAAATTTGAACATGGATTTCATTCTTTGATCCTGGTAATATATTGCTAATAAATCTTTATTTGAGTTTCGAATAACTTTTACAATATCACCATCACTTATTAACTTTGGAATAACTGATTCTAGATTATTGTTCTTAAGCGAAGCTCTAGCCAATGCCTTTATATTTCTGATATCTTTTAATATTACTGTTTTTTGGGCTTTTTCAATTGGTACTTCTGTACGTCTTTGGAGTTTGCCTTCATTCTCATTAGGTGCATAGTTTCTTGTTTTTCTTCATTATTTAGGCGCCGATTTTTTGCCATAAACTTGAATGATGTCTTATTTAGTTCATGATTATGATCACTTGTAAATTCACTAATGTAGAGTTGATTTTTGTCATTTAGTAAAACTTTAATTTTTGCTGGGCATTCACATTGTAACGTTTTATATTTTCTAATACTGTTCGACTTGGTTTGAAAGTTTTTACCACCTTTTGCACAAGCATAATGCAACTTAAAATATTTCATATCTTCAGGACAATTAAATGTCCGTTTAAATTTCCGCTTAATTGCCTGGGTTAAAGTAATACTGTTTCTTTTATAAAAATACATGGCGTTTTCATTTTGATACTCTTCTAATCCTCCTTCAAATTCTTTATAAGTGTTAAATGTGCTCCCAAGACCAAACATTTCATTAGTAGTTAGAGATATTAACAAACAGACAAAAACTTGGACAAAATACTTAGATATTTATCAAAACCAGAACACAATCAACTTCTGAGGGAATAGAAAACAACAAATAAATTTATATATTAGAAACTAACCTCAAACTGCCCAACTGAGCTTTGGTACATATTAAAATAGAACAACTGAGTATGATTAGCGCTGCAGCTATTCATATACATACTATGTCAAAACTATTATACTCAGTGTGTACGAATAGCGCTGTGGCTATTTATACACAGTGTGTACGAATAGCAATACGGCTTTTAATACACAGTGTGTATAAATAGTCACTCCGTTTATAATATTATCAGCCGCCCTGCATTTAGTCAGGGAGCACATGTCAGGAACCACTTAAGTACAAAATTATATTGGTTTGAAATTATTCATTTTAAATGGTTGTAAATAATGTTTAAAATTATTTGCAATTTTTTTACAAGATCTTTTAAATATTTAATGCAAGAAATTGAGTACTTAATCGAATCTAGAACAATACAATAATTTTATAACCAAAATGAATTTAATTGATGCTCTTGGACTAAATTTATTCTCAACCCTTATCTGTAGAGTTTTTGCTGCGGTTTTTGTTTATCCTGGCATCGCCGACAAAGAAATCATTTTTTGTAGGATAGGAATCTCGATTATCTGTGGCGGCGACTATATTCAACATTGAAAATGACTTAAATATATACTTGCTAGGAATCACAAACTTTGGAATCACTGTTGAAGGGCCTGATAAACTTAGGCCTGATAGAGCCCAATTTTTGGCCTGTTGTTACGGCTGTTAAAGAATTTCGAACTCGTCGTCCTCTAAATAATGTTGGGTCAGCCAATTTTCAATAGCCGAAATTGGGAGACAGTCAGACTGAATGTTCATTATTAATTCTTCTATCAAAACATCAGAGGCCTAAAACAAAGTTTAAGTATTTATTCTGCACTACACTTATTGAATCATATTCTTTCATTGCATTCACTGAGACCTTGGATTCCTCTGTCAATAAACCTCTAGATTCGTGGTGATTCGTCATACACTGGCTACTGAATTAATTTGCCAACTTCCTTGAAATCTAACCTCTTGTCAATGGGTGATTCTACAATCGAACAAGTAATAATAATGCTGTGACGGAACTAGCTATTACCCTTTTGTGGACTCTAGTCATTACCGCACCAGGGATGTCAAAAGTTTTTACTTTGACTGACTGTAAAAATTAACCATTAGGTGTTGGATCATTTAAGCCTTGTATTGAACTAGGGGTGCCTTGATTCTCATTTATACAAATAAAACGCTGAAATAGAATAGTTATCAATTTAATTAATAAATGAAGTTAATTCGGTTTAATCAGCAATCAAATCCTATTTAATAATTCCTATTTGGACGTCCAGTCGAACTACAAATTTTATACTAATCTAAAGTAAATAAGCGAGTAAATAAGTATCTTGATTTATAAAAAATAGTGAAATTTCATAATAATAATATCAATTATGGTTAAATGTTCAATGAACGAGAACACAAATTAACTAATTAGATTAACGAGAGCACAACACAAATAATTCGTAAACTTCAATCAGCTCACTGTATTCACAAAATGTTTATAATCCTTGAAAGTTCTTTTGTTTATTGAGAGTTAATAATTTGAGCACTTTTCTGCTGAAGTGTGTAAACAATAAGTGCAAGAAAAGTCTATATATATATGCTCAGTTTCTATATACAAATTTACAAATTAATGTTCATTTCACGAGTGTGAAAACCAAATTTCTGTATTAAAGGTTAGAACAAACACTTCAATTTATAGTGCATTTCAACCGAATCAGTATTCAGTATTTATTAATTTATTATTCGACTGTTTTGAGAAATTGAAACGGTCTTACTTGCTTAATCCAGTTCATACCGGTAAATCCATATAGTGATTATTTATCCATTTATCACTATTCGTAGTAATTTGCACTGTCAGCTAAGGGATTTTCCACTAAGAGAGAGAACACAATGATATACAGAGTTGAAGCCCGTCGAGAGTGAGACAGGAATAACCTTAAACAGGCGTAGTAGAGAATTTTGCTAGGTCCGAGATGACTTGCAACAATTTAGGGGTTAATTACATGAATTGTAATCAATAATATCGTTGATAATATAGGCCATGTCAGGCCTTGAGACACTGGGAGTAGTATTTTACTATAATTCGCGTACTAACGGGGGTTTTCTGGGGTTTTTTTCCTCTGTAGAGCGTTCAGAGGCGAGAGGGTGCAGAGTCTTTGCTTACTCTTCTGCTTCTTGATTACTACTGTTGTGTACCGTGCGTCGAGTCGACTGCCTTTTTCGGAGCAGGTCGCATAAATCAGGGATGTTGGGTGGCAACTGACCAATCACAACAACAAAATAGATCCATTGCTCATAGGGTAATGAAGAAATCTGTAATTTTACCGATTCAAAAGGGCTGCTGTTGCCAGTTTTACAGGCTTCTTTTTTAAGAATATTATTTTTATGATAAATAATAGAAATTGAGATTATATTGATAAACTACAAATAATAACATTTTAAACTTGTTGTGGGTTATTTCCGCAACAAATGCTTTATTGTCAAAAAAAGTATTACATAATTTGTAGACAAAGACTTAAATTTAAAAATACATAATATTATATAAATCTACTTGTATACAAAATCAAAATAAAATGATATAAAATAAACATAAACCAATAAAAAAATGAACTAATTACCTATAAATGGTTATAAACAATGATCCAGTGCGTGGAGCGCTCAAAATTAGGTCAGAAAAAAGTAATTTACTTTATATTTATAAGGCTCTCTGTGATAAATAGGATTTTAGAGCTATGTGCAATTTAGGAAGAGATGCTATGGACTTGATTACTACTAGCAGATGATTATGCATTTTTTTTGCGTTGTATAGAATGGAGCTCTTAATAAACTCGGAGGATGGAGTTGGCAAATAATGATCTTTATTTGCCAACTCCATCCAACTCCGCGTTTCTAAGTGGATATTTATGCAATGGCCTTTTTGAAATACTAGGCAGGTGCTTGCGGATTAGGCAGACTGATTCTAGTATGAAAAGGGAAGAAAGTGTTATTATTTTATATTTTTTGAAAAAATCTTGGCAATGGGCTATATATTATAGTCCCCAGTACATCGACCTTAAAATTTTGTAACTCATGTACACGCCCAACTTCCTGACCGGCTTCATAACACCAAGTCGGACAATATTTTTCATATCTCCACCCTGGGCGATGGGACATTGCTGTGCTAGCTCTTCGTGAAGTTGTCGTTCTGACGTCCCTAAGGAAGTTGATACATGTACGTGTAGCTTCAATGCCAATCGACTGTTTTTTATATTACATTAACGATATCACATTTGTCGGACAAAAACCATGTGGCTTTGGGGAAGGTCCGACGCCCTCAACATGTCGCTGTGGCGTCCCTGAGGAAGTTGATACATGTACGTGTGGTTTTGATGTCAATCGACTGTTTTCTATGTTACATTATTGATATCACATAGGTCGGACAAAAATCACGTGGCTTTGGGAGGGTCCGACGCCCTCAACATGTCGCTGTGGCGTCCCTAAGGCAGTTGATACATGTATGTGCGACAAAAATTATTATGAATAACAATGTAATTTTAAAACGTGTGTAGTAAATGTCGGACAAATAAAATGAGTATTGAACTCAGTCGGACAACAAAAGTCCTTTTGATCAATTTCTGCCGAAATTCACTCCTGAGATTGCACAAAAAACACGACTGAATATCCATTCTTTCTCACACTGTGGTTTTGAATGACCGTTCACTAAATAATTTCCGTAAATACTCGGAGAAGTATCAAAAAAACAGATCAGGGAATATGACACAGGGCCCCACAGGTATTTGACAAAGTAGGTAAATAATAAACTGATTAATATGCACGTTGCGTTAAGGCAAACTAAGTTTAATTTTTTCATTGATTGTCTCAAATTTCTTGTCCGACAAATGTGATATTGTTAATGTAATGTAAAAACTGTCCATTGGTATTAAAAACACACGTACATATATCAACTTCCTTAGGGACGCCACAGTGACATGTTGGGAGCGTCGGAACCCCCCGAAGTCACGTGATTTTTGTCCGACATATATGATATCGTTAATGTAATACAAAAAACATTCGATTGGCATTAAAACTACACGTACATGTATCAACTTCCTTAGGGACGCCACAGCGACATGTTGGGGGTGTCGGACGTTCCCCAAAGCCACATGGTTTTTGTCCGACAAATGTGATATCGTTGATGTAATGTAAAAAACAGTCGATTGGCAGTGAAACTACACGTACATGTATCAACTTCCTTAGGGACGTCAGAACGACAACTTCACGAAGAGCTAGCGCAGCAATGTCCCATCGCCCAGGGTGGAGACATGAAAAATATTGTCCGACTTGGTGTTATGAAGCCGCTCAGGAAGTTGGGCGTGTATATGAGTTACAAAATTTTAAGGTCGATGTACTGGGGACTATTATGTTTTAACTTTAGGGAATATCTAATAGCTCTTTTTTGTAATTTGAAAATACGCTCAAATTGAGTCGCACAGCACGAACTCCAGAATGGAAGGGCGTATCGAATATGTGATTCGAAAAGGGCAAAGTAGACTGTTTTAGAAGTTGACAAGTTAAGCTCCTTGGAAACTGATCTTATCGCAAAGCAAGCGGAACTTAATTTTTTTGATAAAGAATCGATGTGCGAATTCCATTTTAGGGATTTGTCTATAATAAGGCCCAAAAACTTCACGGAATCAAGGACGTCAATAGTAGTACATACAGTCTGGTTGCTTAAGGGATTTTCTCAAGAGAAAACGCCATATGATGATTAGCATTAAATTTGGCACAGTTGCTAATTAGACTATTTTAATTGATTTGAGTCGAGGACCCATCGACTTTTCTCATTGGTACTAAAAAAACCGCCATTTTTTTAAAATGGGATCAATTTTTTAAT